GAATGACTTGGTCTTTCCCCCGTGGCTTCCGCTTGCCTAGGGCCCCCCGCGGCCTGGCTGTACCCCATGGCCTGTCTCCATCTGTGGCCACGGCTCCCAGCTTCTTCACCAAAGGGCTGGCTCTTTACACGTGTCAGGGCGCGAGTTCGCAGGCAGAGTTTGATTGGCTCATCATTTGCTGAGTCGCCGTCGCCGGCCAGCGTGTGGATACCTGCCTCATGGTCAGGGAGAATCAGCTATGAAGAGAAGAGCACAGTCATGGCACAGACGGGGTCACACCTGGGGCCATGGTTGGGACAGTCTTCCTTGGAGGCGGGCACGGCGAGCAATGAGGAACATCTCAGGTCCTTGTGTAAAATTCCCCTGGACCATGTGCGGTGTCACCCTTTCCCTGCGGGGGCCAGGACACCGGGGGCTGCCCCAACCGGCAGGACTTGCCAGGCAGGGATAGTGTGAATGCAGGCAGCCTCCGGGGGCCAGGGGTCTGCTCTTTCCCGCCCGTCCTCTGCTCCCTTGTAATGGATTGAGTTGTGTCCCCCCAACATTTATAATGTGGAAGTCCTCACCCTTGTACCTTAGAATGTGACCTTATTTGGAGATGGAGTCTTTACAGAGGTAACGAAGTTAAAATGAGGTTGGCTAGATAGGCCCTAATCCAGTGCACCTGGTGTCCTCATGCGAAGAGATTTGGAGGCAGAGCAGAAATGCATGAGGGCCGACCAGGGGCAGAGACGCCGGGAGAGGGACAGCGGCCTAGCACGTCTTCCCTCGCAGCCCTCAGAGAATCCAGCCCTGCGTCTCCTTGACCTTGGCCCTCTGGACGCTGGCCGTGAGACACACATATCTGTCGCTGAAGCCCCCCAGTCCATGGTACAGGAGCTCTAGCAAACCAATCCATCCCTCAAGGGAACTTCTGAGAAAAGGGATGAAGACGGGGGACACAGACGTCCTGGAGGGTGGGCTGCAGATGTCCAGAGGGTGTGACTGCCAAGGAGCAGGGCCCTCGCCTCCTCAGCCCGCCGTGCTTTGGACTCAGCCTCCAGGGAGAACTGCTGACTGAGTCCGGCGCCTGAGTTACCCATTTACCACCTCCGATGAGACCCACAGGAGGTGTCAGGCCGGAAGGGACCTGGTCACATCTGCCTCTCAGAAGGAGCCCTGTGACCGGTGTGGAGGACAGATGCAGCGAGGAGCGGAGAGGCTGGAGGTGAGGAGGCAGGCGCGGAGGGTGGCGAAGAGCCCGGAGGAACAGAACCGAGTCGTCTGGGGGCGTCACCACCATGATGGGCTGAGATACAGGTGGAGGCTGAGGAAGGAGGGGTTAGGGACAAGAGGAGGCCGCTCCCTTGAGCACCTGGTGGAGGGTGTTGTCCGGGGTAGGCCTGGGAGGAGGAGGGCTAGGTCTGCTTTCAGCATGCAGGTCAGCATCGTCTGAGGGACGCCCCCCAGCCCGTGGGCAGTGGGAGACCAGGCCTGGGTGTAGATGTGGATGTGGGTGGCATGTGTTCGGGGGGAGGGGCCATGGCAAGGAGGTGCTGGAGTGGGCTGCACCTCCCAGAGCAGCTCTAGAGATGGGCACCCGAGAGGTGATGGGGCAGCACAGGGAGGGAGTGGGGGAGGGAGACAGGGAGGGGCAAGCGGAGGGTGATCAAGGTGGGCCACTAGGGCCCAGTCCCTCTGGGGACACTGAGAGAGACGGAGGCTCAGGTCTCCCATTTACTCCTCTGGAGGGTCAGGAGGTCCACCCTTTGCTGACAGAAAGTTGTCCCTGAGGAATACACTCAGGTGTTTCCAGTCTGCACATGTGCCCATGGCCAGAAAAGGGCCTCAGACAGATGCAGGTGACCTTCGGGGCCGGTCGGGACAGAGCCAGGGCACTGATGGCTCGTGCCACGGTTCTGCCAACAGCCATGTTGGTCTTCCAGTGGGGAGAGAGGAGCCTGTCTTCTCCCTGCATCACGTCGCCTGAGCCCCGGGCAGGGACTGGTGAGGCGGGCTGAGCTGCGGAGCCGAGTGGGCCAGGCCGCAGGCCGGCGGTCCAGGGAATCTCACTGCACAGGTTCGGAAGCGTTTCTAGTCTCAGGGAAGGCGGTAGAAACAGGAAACAAGTTGTCTAATGTGCAAATCATTAAAATATAATGACCTAGCTCTAGGGTGTTCAAGAGCCCCACACAGCTGTTAATGAGCTCACAGCCACAGCAGGGAAGGCGGCTGAGGCTGGGACCCCGGGCGGGGGAGGGCGGGCGCCTCGCCTCCTCCTCTGTGCTCGTACCTCCTGCCTGCCCCATCCCACTAGTTCCTCTGCTGTGGAGACGCGAGGCCTGGACTTCGGACGTTTCCACCTCCAACACAGAGCGGAGCCTGGAGGCCGCCCAATTCCCACTCCGAGGAGCTCCGGGCCCTCAAGGCCACCTCAGAGCCTTCTCCACCAGGGCCGGCATCTGGGCTCAGGGACATGGTGAGTGGTATCCCAGGAGGGAGCTGGCCCGTCCTGTTTAGTTGCCCCAGGTTAGCTTATGGGGGAGGGCACCATTCTTGGGTTTGCTTCTCAGGGTGATGCTGCTGGGAGGGTTGATGTTGGGGTGCCTCTCTGCTGAGAAGGCAGAATGGGGTTTGCGGGGCTGCAGGTGTAGGTAACGATGAGTATGAGGACAAGTACCTCCAGGCAGGTGGGACAGACACCAGTGGGTTCGTGCAGGTGGGGTGGGCTATGGACGTCGACAGGCGTGGGGAAATGTGGGTGTGGGTTGGTATCAAGGTGTGGACATTGGTGACAGCGACTGGGTGTCGGGATGCCAATGGATGAAATAATAATAAAATAATAATAAAGACTTTATAGCACTTACTATGTACCTGTCACTGCTCTGTTTTACATAAATTTACTCATTTCATTTTTACGACAACCCCATAAAAGAGAAACCTTCACAACCCCCACATTTAGGGGAGGAAATGGAGGCACAAAGAGGATTAGCGTCTGCTCAAGGTCCGTCGGCGCGTGCATGGCGGGGCAGGGAGCTGAACTTGGCTGTCTGGCTCCAGAGCCCATGCGTTTGGTCCTCCTGCTCCACCCGGGGCCTGGCGTGGCAGAGTCGGTGCGAGGGTGGGCGGGCGCAGGGGCTTTCTGGGTGGGGCGTGACGTGGAGGTGTGCACAGGTGGAGCCTGGGCCAGCACAGGAGGGCGGGCATGCATGCCCTGCCCCAGGTGGGTGCTGGGCAGTCCTCAGACTCAGCAGGGCATCGGAACCACCTGGAGGGCTTGCTAAACCCTAGACGGCTTCTGGTCTGGGAGGTCCAGTTGGGGCTTGAGCATTGCATTCCCAAGGAACTGGGGACCGGCCTGGGGGAACACCGGGCAAGGGTGATGGTGAAGAACAGGAAGTGGCATTTTAGAGGGAAAGAAGGAGGTGGGCAGGGTGAGGCTGGAACAGAGAGGGACCTTAGAAGTATGGGACAGTCACCAGCTGTGGGGATTTTCGTGTGATGAGAATGGTTGAGGTAGGTAGAGAGTAGGTCCAGGGAGCCTCGGACAGTGGCCTGGGAAGCCCAAGGGCCCTCTGGGTGAAGCCTGTGCTACGTGGGGTTTTTGGTGTGCAAAGGTGGCTGAGACCAGAGGCCCCTCTTCCCTTGTGATCCCATAGGTGCAGGAGGTTTCTCTATGTTCGTCGCTGATTCTTCAGCTATAAATTACTCATCCCAAATTGGTGACTGCCGGGGCCCCAGAGAACTTGAGGGCGGAGGGGGCTGAAACCTGTCCAGAGAGGGTTTCCTCTCGTACTTCAGCCCTAGAGCCTGTCACCCATCAGAGTTCTAGCTGACCTAAGTGTTGGAGGTGGTGCTGGGAGGGTTTCCTTCAAAGTAAACAGGAGCCCCTACCAGAGGATGGTCTCTGGGACCAGGAGAAGAAACAGTCTGGGGAGGCCCGGGTTCGGTTCCCGCTAAGGGCATGTACCTCGGTTGCAGTTTGTCCCCAGCCTCGGTTGGGGTCGTGTGGGTGGCGGCCACTCGATGTTTCTCTCTCTCTCTTCCTCCTCTCCCTCCCACTCTATATCTCAAGATAAAATGCAAGGGTGTCCTCAGGTGAGGATTAAAATAAAAGAAACATTCTGGGGAGCTGCTGCAGGCACGGAGGGTCGGCCACAGGCTGTGAGAAGGGCAGCTCCCCAGCAGGGCCCAGAGCGGCGACGGAGCCACGACAGACTGGCCACGCTCCGGGTTGACCTGTGTCCTCCCAACAGATGTGTCCTCAACCCAGTGCCTGTATTCGGAAACAGTCTGTAGAGAGGCAGTCAAGTTCATCCAGGTGGGTCCTACCCCGACATGACCGGCGCCCTTATAAAGTCGGAGTATTTGGACGTGGAGACAAACACATCCAGAGGAATGGCGACGGGAGGGCTCAGGGAGAAGATGGACTTGCACAAGCCAAGGAGCGCCTGAGGCCACCAGCAGCTGGGAGAGGCCCGGAGCAGATGCCCCTCAGCCCTCGGGGGGACACCGCTGCGGACTCCCTGAGGTGCAGTCCGAGCCTCCAGAGCTCTGACAGGGTGACTGCTGCTTAAGCCCCCAGGTCTGTGGTGCTTCGTCACAGCAGCCTCGGGAAATGAATGCTCCCCGACTCACGGAAGGAGCCAACTGGTCTCAGCGACCGGAGGGACATTCGCTGTAGGCCGTGTCACTGCTGAGGGGACTTCGGGAGAGAGCAGTGGAGCCTGAAGCCAGCAGATGACACTCCGCCCATGAGCAGTCTTCCGGAGGGGCAGGCCCTGAGCCCTCTGGCCACCCCGGGCCCACGAAGCAGGCCTCGGCTCCCACAGCAAGCTCCCGCCGCGGCATCCTTTCTCGGGGATGCGGAGCAGGCAGGGAAAACAGGGGTGGTCTGGCTGTAGGAACTCCAGGTTCAGAGGAGACAGGCGTGAATCTCCACCATGCACCAGACTACAAAAACCCTTTTTTAAAATCAATAGTATTTTATTGACAGTTATAAATATTTTCCATGTGTCCCCTATTTACAGTTGCAAAATAGTTTATGATATTATACCTTCACCCACCATTCAGCATCTTTCTAGAAACGCCACGAAAATTCAGTAGGAAATAAAAAGCTCTTTAGGGGGGCCCACCAACCTGGTTCCCCGGACTTCGGACCACCCCAGGCGGGCAGCGGGCAGCGGGCAGCGCTGTAGCAGGTGCTACACAGTAGCAAAGGGGCGGGCGGCGCCCGGCGTCAGGACGCCAGGCTCCTCAGGACGTTGGTGATGCTCCAGTGCTGGCCCGAGCACTTCTGCAGCACCAGCTGGAAGCCGAACTCCGAGTCGCTGTTCTCCTGCAGCTCCAGACAGCGCTTGGACTTGCGGTTCTGGATGGGGCCTCCCTAGGAGCCAGGGCGGAGAGTGGAGTCAGAGGGGCCAGAGAGTGTAGAGGCAGCACAGGGCGGAGGTGGGGCTGGGGCCAGCGGCTGGTGCAAGGCGGGGCTCTTTGTGTCTAGATGTCTGGGATCAACGAGGCTGCGGGAGGCCTGCGGCCAGCAGTCCCGCAGAGCCTTGGGCTCCCATCGCTGACGTGCTGGCCTCCTCCCTGAGACTGGACCCGTGTGTCAGTTTTCTTCGCAGAGCCCTAGTTCTTGGCTATCTACCAGGCTGATGTCCATCTACCAGGCTGGGGATTAGCACGCTGGGTTGCTCCTATAGGTCCTAGGGGGTGGGGGGCGGGGGGCGGGGAGGCTAGGCCCTGGGGCCCTGCTCTGAAAACCCGAATTCCTTGGGCCCACCCATGATCAGCCTGACCTTTGAGTATCACCAGACCTCCTGCTTTTAGGGCCCGCGCCCCCAACTGGACCTCTGGGGTCACCAGTGCTGGCCCCAGCCAAGCTCAGGCCCCTGGATTCTGTCCGCAGGCCACTGGGTTCCCTCATCCCTGGATCTGCATGGCTTGCCCTTGCTCCTGATGTTTCAGTGTGTTCTGTAGCCACGCATACTCAGTTTACACCCCGGACACTCTGGCTGTGTGCCTGGGAGTCAGCCTGTGAGCATCTCCGAGTTCTACTGAAAACGTGCTCATCTGGGCTTTGGCCTCCCAAATGGGCAGAACTGCTCGGGCCAGGTGGTGGTCCATGGAAGTAGGCTCCTTGCAGCTTAATGGTTCTTGAGTATATGCTCAAACTCACCTTTTCCGAGAACCTACTGTCTCCCATCTCAGCCATAAGCAGGCACCTTGGGTGGGAAAGCTGAGCGTTTTCAGTGATACCCCCACCTTTGCCCCAGCATCTGACTGGGCACCGGTTCCTGTCCATCCACCTCCGTCAGGCCTTGTGACTGTCCCCTCATCCCTTTGCCGTCACACTCGCCCTGCTTCGGGCCACCGTTGTCTCTCCCCGGACAACCGCATCAACCTCATGGCTGATCCCCCTCCCACTTCCGCAGGCCGGGAGTAGTGACCCTCTCGGTGCATATTTGGCCTGGAGGACAGGCCCCTCTGCGGTGGAGCACGGCCGGCCTTCGTGGTGTGGGTTGCGTTTCTCTCCGGCCTCGTCTCCCAACACACGCACACCTTCTGCTGCAGCAATACCAAACTCCTTGTCGTTTTCTACACCCATCTGCATTTTCTCAGGCTCCCTAGATGTGCACAGGCTGGGACCTGTGCCTGGGGTCCTCTCATGCTCAAGGCTAAGCCACAGCTGCTCTGGGTTCGGCTCCGGCTTGCTTCCTCCTGGAGCCTTTTCACCTTCCACCTACCTCCCCCTCCTCCCTCCTCTCCTCCAGTCCCCAGCTGGTTCGTGCTCCACCCCGAGCTTCCTCCCGCTCAGCACTCAGGGAATGAGGGCAACATTTCTTTCACTCGTGTTTTTCCCTCTAGACTGAGAGTTCTGTGTCTTATCCATTTCTGTCCTCTCGACATTCAGCAAAAAGCTTGGAGCACGACAGGTGATCATTGAAGCTGGCTGTCAATGACCTATACAAGTGAGAAGCGAATCGGTCACTGGATGGTGACCGTGCTTAGGAGTTCACCCTGGAGTGGCCCTGGAGGCCCACCCCTGCTGCATCCATCCTGTCCCGGTGAGCAGCCCGCTGCAGGAGGAGACGGCAGCCCCTTCTGGAAGTCATCCCCAGTCTGCCACCACCATCCCTGGGGTGACAACGGACATGTCAAACTCAGTTCTCACAACCACCTGGAAAACTGGCAGGATCTGCCGCAGCTGAACAGACACTTCCCTGCGACCCAGCAATTCTGCGCCCATAGCTCCGTATCGAGCAGGAAGGTGTGCACCAAAGACATGTGTCGAGAGCCTTCCGAAACGTGATTAGTTAAAGCTCCAACCTGGAACCAACCCAAAGGCCATCAGTAGGAGAGCGGATAAATGACCACAGGCACTCGCCTGGTGGAATACTACACAGCATCAAAGATGGACACACTAGAGCCCTTCTCAGTAAGGATGAATTTCACAAATACAACGTTAGCAAAGGAACAGAAAATATACATAATCCTACTTCTATAAACTTCCCAAACAGGCAAAATAAAACCAGTGTTCAAATCAGGTGGGGTCACCTTTGGGGAGGGGGGGTGACAGGAAGAGCAGGGGCTTTAGGGTACAGGTGGGGGCTATTTTCTGACCGGGATGGTGCTTACCTAGGCATTTGCTTTGTTTTAAATCAAGTCGAACATTTATTTCTCTATGTATGTTTACATGTTTCTGTATGTATGTGTTATTCTTCAGTTAAAAAAAACCCAGCTCCCCAGAAGGGACCCTGAGTGGTGGGTGAAGGAGGCAGGAGTGAGAAGCTGGGTGCTAAGGGGGTCCGGAGTCTGCGTGTCAGGAGCGGGCACAGACGTCCCAATGTCCCATGCGGGACACAGCCCATGGAGGGCAAACCTCTTCAGAAGCATTCGAGTAAAGCAGGCCCCCAGCCCAGCACCTCTGAGGAGAGCGATGACCCACTGCCCCCAAGAGCACAGCGACCTCAGGACGAAGGGGAAACAGAAACCGAGCTCATCTGGGGCCCACAGGTGCAGCCAGAGAGAAACCCACGAGTCAGGCCCTGACAGTGGACAGAACCAGTGGCCCTGGGACAAGGGCTCAGAAAGGACCCTGGAACCCCCATGTTGGAAGAGACTTCGAAGGCCGACTCTCTTGTTCTCAACTGCGACCTGAATGACCTCTGCACTTCAGCCCAGTGTCCACCTGCAGGGACAAAGCACTCGGCCCCCAAACCAGCACTTCCTTTCCCGAGTGGCTCCTCCTAGGAGCTCCCCTCCCACTGAACCAAGACCCCTGTCTCAGGGGCATCCAGCGAGGGCACCCAGACCTCCCCTCGGGTTCCCACTTGGGTCAGCTCCGGCTTCTCCGCCACTTCCGTCTGCCAAGGGAGGGTGAGGCCCATGTCCCCCACGTTCCCAGCTTCCTGTGGAAAAATGCTGTCATTCTGGTAGCACTCCTTTTGTTTTGAACCACTCAGATCTGACCACAGAGCACAGACCACCTCATTTCCACTGGACGACGGGCTCTTCCATCCGAGCCAAGGAGTCAGCCCTTCTGGTGGCCAGTACAACCCTGAACCACGCTGGGATGACTGGAGGACAGCCTCGGTTGTCCTCTCAGAAGCTGTGATCCATCTGGGGTCCCCATCCTGTCCCTCAAAGGCTGGACGTTTGGACCCAGAGCCATCCCTGTGACACCTGCTCCAAGCGAGGCTAGTCCATTGCTCTGCCTCCGGGTTTCTTTGGCTTCTGTGTAACAGCTCACAGCCTGCAGGCATGGGCAGGGCCATGTGGCTGGTGCCCCTTTGGCAGGACTACATCCAGGTTCTCCTGACCCTCCAACATCCCGGCCAGCCCGCTGGCTGTCCTACCCTTCTGCTGGGAGTGGAGATCAGGCAGGGTTGCATGGAAGCAGCCAGCTCTCTTATCCACAGGTCCGCCGGGGCTCCGGACACTTCCGAGATGGAAAGGGAACAGTGCTGAACAAGGATGCTTCTTTCCTGGTCGGCAGCTGTGTGGCCTGGGGCGACGTTCCACCCTTCTGGTCCCATTGTCTCTAGGGCAGATGGTCATTTCTGTCCTGATTACTGAGGATGAGCAGGACAGATGGGAAATCCCTTTATCAGCTACACAACAACAAACGGATTTGAGGCTGTTCATAGAATCAGGTGGAGGCTCCGGAAAAAGTGCACAGCAGCAGACGGAGCCAGACAGGAGCCCTGCCCTCCTGCTGGATTCTGACTGCTCAGCACATCCTCAGGGGCCGGGCCGGGCCTGGCCGGGCCTGGCCGGCAGGGAGGCTGCTTCAGGACCCGAACAGGAGGCCGCAGCCCCCTCCTTTCCCACCAGCCACTCAGGCACATGCTGAGCCTTCTGCAGGGGCACCTTGCCAAGGTCGAGGGAGGAAGACAGGGGCAGAGGTCTCTGAGAAGCAGTGTTCCTTCAGGGACTCAACGGTGACATTTCCCAGGCCCTGCCCTGGCCCAACCATGTCCCTGGCACCCCAGACGCAGGAAGTGTGGTGACCTTGGGGCAGAAGCAGCCAGTGTGGCCTCTGGGAAGAATGTGGAAGAAGCGGAGTGAAGCCAAGGGCAGGGTGGGTGTGGAGGAGACACAGCCTCTGTGAGTCTGGGTCCACAGGGAGAGCAGAGTGTGAGGCCAGGGACAGCTTCCCTCGGAGGCTCCCGAAGGAGAACCTCCTACGGCCGGGAAGGAAGGCCGCCTCGGAGGCTCGACGAGCACAGCCCTGGTGCGCACCTTGGGAGCGCATCTGAGTACGGAGAGAAGAGCCAGGCCACCTTTGGTGCTAGACCAGCACTGGCCACTGGCGCTGTCTCCCTCCTCTCTTCCTTCTCAGACCTTGACCTCTCTCACTGAGCAAACTCTGGGGTCTTGCCCTCTCTCCGGGCAAAGTCCATTCGCCACAGTGGGAAGGAGCTTTCCTTCCCTCCACTCAGCCCTTCCTGGTGACTTCAGCACCCTTGGGAGCAGCTGGTGTTGGGACTAACTGCACCTCTACCTGCAGGCTTTGCTCCTGGGATGAAAGTAACAAGAGTTAACACTTATTTTCCATATGCCCAACACTGTGTCGAATACTTTACATGCCCAGTCTCAGGCATTGCTCACAATGACCCTGAGAGGTGGGGATGCTAATGATCACCATTTTATAGAACTGGAGACGGAGGCTCAGAGACGTTGGGAGACTTGCCCAGGATCGCACAGTCAGAAGTGGTGGAGTTAGGCTGGAGCCCCCTTCACTGTTCCCCCCAGGATGAGTGGCTCGCCCACCCCACCATTTATTCCACCCCATGGCTGTCTCAGGGAGTGGACTAGACTGACAGCTATTTGTGCCCCAACATCTGAGGTCATCTTGACCAGAGAGGAAGGTCACCTTGACCT